AAAAAAAAAAAGAGGGAAGTACCTTATAGAGATGAGTGCCGTACTTTTAGTATGCTTTATAAATGCTAATAATAAAGTTTACGTTAATACATGTGCAGTAATTTTACATTAGCTTCTCTGTGTCTTTTAATTGTTTAAATTAGACAAACGCTTCATTTGGCCGTTGAAGCATCTGCATTTTATAATTAATTATTAGCAAGCTCTTTATTGAGAAAAGATTTATTGTGTTTAAGCCTAACTTTTCTTGTACATAAATCAAAGTTAAACCAAGGAACTCTTAAATTCGGAACATTAACACACATTAAACAGCCTTAAATGCTTCATACTGGAAGATTTGCTTGTTGTAAGCCAACAGCCTCCCTTCTGAGGCTAGAGTTCTGGTTACAAACTTTTCAAAGCACGATTCTGTCTTAAAGCTCTTATACATCCAACCGATGTCAAGAACATGCAGCGACAAAAAGACCCCTACTGGGTCTACTCTCGTCACCACCATCTACGGGGGGGGGGGGGGGGGGGGGAAGCACTTTAAAATACATCAGGGTCACATTCAGCACACACCTTCACTGTACAATCTATACTTGTACAAAACGACACAATGCTGCATTGCACATCACAGGAAAAAAAAAAAAAAAGTTAATTTCTTTGAAATCCAGTCGAGCTGATTAAGATGTCTTTTCTAAGCATAATTCTTGCTTTTCTGTGTTAAATGGAGTAATGATATTAAGTAATAAATTTTTTAGTTTTGCATTTCTGTGTAGCTTCAATAATATCCCTGTTATCATACAAGGAGAACCTCAATAAGCATAGACTCTGGAAGATTCCGAAAGCCACTTACTGGCTCAGTGTGTGAGGCCTGTCGGAGACATCCGACTAAAGCAGGAGTGATGGAAGATCTCTTGCATCAAGAGTTTCACTCATACTTCTTCAGACTGCTTACCTCTTGACCCGCTTCCACACAAAAGGATTAAAGAGGGCAGAGACGCCTGCAAAACGCATGCCAGCCACACTTTGCCTCGGCTAGGGCGTCTTTTACAGTCACACACTCACACTCACACACATACCCAGGGATCTTTTGACAACAGCATCGATAAAGCCTGATTATTACAAAACAGTTGACCGTCAGTTTGTTTGGCAGTGCATATGGTGGTCATGTTAGAAAACACAAAGCTTAATTCCTGTCATTTTGACACCAGGTTGTATTTGGTATGTATATAAACAGATAGTAACTGTCAGAGTACGAGGCTCTTCTTACTGGTGTGTTGATCATTCTTACCCGACTGCCCTCATTAAATCTGACAAGTCATGCAGTGATTAAAAATTGGAATGCTGCAACAACAGCGCAAGCATTAGGATCAGTGACTGCCTTAACTTCCAATGACAAGGAAAGCCTGGCCAACGACTCCTCTCCAGTCAGTAGGAAATCTTCAGCCTGGCTGCCTTTAGCCAATTCAAAGCGACAGCGCCTGAAAGTGTAAGAGAGACTGCGATCAAGCAAGGGCTCCGAAGGGCGGGGGTCGGATTTTCCACCCATTGCTTCTATTATTATCTTGGCTTAATCAGCTACAACACAAAGGTGAAGAGGTTGTGCACAAACAAGACTGCTGCAAAGCCACAATTTTAAGCATTTGTAATAAATACAGTACAAAGTTATAAATACAGTACAAATGGCTACTCCAGATGCCGTTTTTGCACTATGCACTGCAACGGATATTCAGAGAGACAGTCATGAGGATGCTGAGCCAGGTTCGGTGTTTAGTTGCTTCCTTGCGGCACGCGTGAGAAAACATGGCATCGAGAGAAAAGGAAAGATCTGTTTGGATGATCACTGTTCAAAAATAATTTGAAAAAAGGATCTAATTAATCATTCCTGAGGCCAACTTCCAGATTTATATGTGCTGAGATTTCAAGGGAAGACAAACGTGCACTTTAGATTCGCAGATTGTCAAATAGCCAAACGCAAAATGACTACAAAAAAAAAACAAAAAAAACTTTACAGACGTGGAACAAATAAATCAATGTTATACCAAGTGATGATATAAACCATTTAAATCTGATGTTTAGACAAAACATTGACAGACAAACGTTTCAGTGTCATGTGTTCTTTTGTGGTTTGTGGGTAAAGGTGATGGATTGTTGGGTAAGAGCCAGCGGATCGCAGCGTCCCCACCCATATGCTCATGATGGCAGGAATAGACGGGGTGAAAACACAACACTAGCCAGCCAGGCTTTGGCCTGCCACCAGACCCTGTCATCATCATCACCTGCTGGGAGAAGGCGGCTTTTAGAGGGAATGGGAGTGTTTGTGTAGCTGCTTTGGAACAACACAGGTTAAAAACTGTGCATATCAGCAAATGTACTAACAAAGATTAAGCCTGACAAAATCCAGAAATACCATTCCGGTTGTTACGAATCCTGGAATTATTATTTTTTTTCTTCGTGACAACACACTGGAATAAAAGTAGAAATTAATCAAATGTCTGAGACGTAGAACTGATTCTAGCACACAATGTAGTACACTTTCCCAAAGATTACTCCTTTTCCAAATACTTCCTTCTGGTAGCTGGAAAATTTACAGTGCTGGCAGACATTTTTACGTTCTTATTCCTCTGTGTCAATGTTTTTAATTATACTTTGGCATGGCTTAAGATCTCAATGTGAGAGTATCATTTGGATGCTTGAAAGACAGCTTAGTGTCACTCAATGCTATGATGATGGAAATATTTAATCCCATGCTTCTTTCTAATCCTGCAATGCTAAATTCATTTTTCAAACCTGCAAATAAATGACAGAAGAAATGCGTAATAGCAGATGTCACAGGACTTACAGACAAGTCGGAATACAGTCTTATTTCACAAGTGTCAGATCATGACTGAGTGGTCAAAAAAATAAAAGAGGAAGTGGGAGGAAATCGATTGTGTCCCACCAAAATGAAACCTCACTTGCTTCAACAATTGTTTCCTAGTATTTAATATTTTGTTAGTTGCATGAGGTGAAGGAACAGAGGTGAAGGAACAGAGGTTCATCTAATCAGTGCTGTGCCTCCGTGTATCGATCTAATCATTTATACATCCACAATAAGTTTTTAGGAGATACACACCTAGATTTATAAGTAGAAAATGATGGACATAAGGAAGTTGCAGTTGTTCTATAGATGGGAATTCTGTTTTTGAGACACTACTCCATTACTTTACATAAAGACTATGGCATTGTCCACCTTGGGATATTTTGTTGTCACTAAAGGGGCAGGCAGTGTGGACATTTCATCAAGTATTGCAAATTGTTAAAAAAAAAAAAAAAAGCAGCTAAAAATTCTCAAAATAAGCTGAAATGACAGATAATTCGATTGAATTTTGTTGTTATCGTGTAATGGGAATTTCATAAATATTTTTTTAAACCTTTGAACAGTCTGAGCAATATCTACAGATGTGACATTCTAGCAAACTGCAACGTTATTTATGAGTCTTGCAGTATGCACAATAATGGTAAAAAACAAGAGCCAAGAAATCATAGAAGCATTTTAAAAGTCAATGGAGTCTTTAAGTGCACCCTGACTGTAAATATTCAGCTTTACTCCACTGCTTTAAAAATAAACACACTCAGCTAAATAGCTTCGGCTGCCGTTTTTGTGCCTGATTGCTGCTTGGTCAACCTTACAGCAATTCTCCTCAATTGCTGTTATTTTTCTAAGAAAACAATGAACTGCACCACCTTCTGACTTGAATATTTGAAAAGGAATTTCTGCATTCTACATTTTGTTAAATTGAATGTAAGAAGCGCCAGCCGTGCCGGAAAAGAACAAAGCAATTAAAAGAATCAAAGCTGATTCCCAACATCTGTCCAGTCGCATTAGAATGTTTTGGGGTTTCTCAATCAGTGAACAGAATACGATTAAGGGATTGTACTCAGTGAGCCAAACTCAGAGTTCACTCTGACATGAATGAAGACTCAACAGGTAATTACTCCACCTGGTATTGACAATGGACATTGATTTTTTTTTTTTTTTTTCCCTCTTACTAGATTAAAAGACAAGATTGTCCCCTGATTGTTGTTTGTGAACATGAGCCACTGGGTACTGCATTATGCAAAAAAAAGGACTCATTCTGCTGTGAAAAAGCAATCAATGTTTAAAATGAATATTAATATGAAAGCAGACTTGTGGAAAAATGATAATGAATTTTTACTGTATATGAGGAGAGCTTTTTCCCAACAGGTCCTCATGTAGCAGGGGGTGGTGTAATTCCACAATGACATTGACATGTTAATTAAAATGTCATGGAATTACTGTAGTTATACTCAGCTGTTACCAGTGACTTCACTTTTCACCATACTAATAGCTTCATTTTTTTTCTGCAGGTTCTGTTATTGCTTTAACAATTCAAACAAAACAATAATTACTCAAAACATCTATACAAGACATCTATCTATCCATGGAGTCAAAGATCGCTTAGTTCACATTAAACACTGAACTAAGGCTTCAAGCATAATACAACTATCACACAAGACCATTTTGGGATGATAACATCTTAATTTACAATTTTTTTTTTACCATTTGTACAGTTATTAGCTCAAATCTTATGGTAAAAGGTAAATATTTTCATGGTGACCTGTATATTGAGAAAGAGAAGATGAGGAAAACTCATGTTTGGAGACCCAGAAGAACATCACCTACCTATGACTTTATAACAAGCTCTGCTGTGAGGCCAGTATATGCGCTATTCTCCACAGTGGCCAATGGCCGCTTGTGACAAAAGTTGTAACTCAAAAATCCACAACATTCAGGCATACGCCATAATTAGTGCTTCAGCTCTGACCAGCATGGCGGCAGAAATGTCTACTATTCTCACCAGTATATGTCTGCAGCTCTCATTTTGTCAAATTATAGGCTTGAATTGCTGGCTCAAAATGTCTTTATTGCATAAAATGTCTTTATTGCATAGAGAGATAAAGTGCAAAAGAGTTTGCTTAAAATGTTTGTTAATTCGTTTTTTTTTTAAATCGTCGGTGTTACACTGAGAGGTGTGGTGTAGAAGGAAAACTCCTCAAAGTTGGCTGTAGCATAAACAAAGGTGGTTTATTAGGCCTCCTTCAGCACAGAATAGCTCACGGACAAGACAAAATGACATCTTTCCCAACAGTCTCTTAGCTTTCAAGCGCTCTGCTTCAGACTCTCAAGCTTTCTCCCTCTTCTTCTTCTTGGCTCAGCCAACAGTCTCCCTATATACTGTTGTCCCCACCTTCTCAATTAACTGCCCAGCCAATCAAAGTCCAGCAAACATGGCCCTTTCTATAAAAGAGCTGGGTTTGAGGCGGGCCTCCTCTTTGGTAGATTCCAAGATGGCTGCTACAAGGACACACCCAAAAGGTAACAAACATTTCACAAACAAAAGGATCACATACACACATTCTAGAACTTAAATGTTACAGAAAATATTATTGCTTCTTAACAGTCGGTATATTCACAACATTTACTCAACATGCTGTTGAACTACTTGTGGCACCAATTATGTCTTCTTCTGTGTGTTTCTACAAACAGGTGCATGTCTTGTGCTATTTTCTACCTTTGTTCTCTGCAGATGGTCTCAAGCTTATTCAGTTAGGATTGGCAGTACAGGTAAATAAATAGCTCTTCTTAGATCTTTTACACAGACGATCAATTGGATTTTAGTCCAGACTTTACCGAAGTCACTCCAGGACGTTTTAAGGCTGTTTCATAAGGCACTTCAGTGTTATTTTTGATGTGTGCTTGAGGTCGTTGTTTTATTGCAAAATGAATAGTTGCCTAAGTTGGAGTTCCTGAGCGATCTGGAACAGGTTTTCGTATTGTTAATGTGAACTTGTTATCCAGTCGGTTCCTGCTGCAGAAAAATATCCCTGTGGTATTTTGCTGCCAGCACCACACTAGGGATGACATTAGCCAAATTCGCCACCTGTGCCTGTTTTTCTCTAAACATGACACTTCAGACAAAAAGCGTCCATAACAGTTTCATTTGACCAGATAGCTTCATTTCTCTTAATCTGATCGTTTCTAAGGTGTGCAAACTGCCATCTCCATTTAGCCAGCCTACCATAGAGCTCTGATTAGTAAAGTGTCTCCATTTTTGTATCCTTCCCCATATTGATGTTTTGACACTATCTAAATTTTAGTTCAGTTGTAGAGACATCTGAGAGATGATCAGTAGAACTGGATACACCTGAGGTCAATTTTGAGAGTCATTTATTTTGTGTGTGTGATTTTTTTTTTCTAATATGTTAGAAAAAAAAACTGTGTATTGCATTGTTTATTATGTGTAGAATTGGGAGATTTCTTCATTTACTCAATTTTGGAATGAGGATGTAGTAGCAATGTAGAGAAAGGGAGCACTGTGAATACTGCTGATATTTTTTGATGTATGTTTTTGTATTAATATTTCAGACATCTGCTTTCTTTGATCCTTGTTCATTATGTCACTGAAAAACTGTTTACCACATTTGATTGCATCTACTGTAAACGAGGAAATGAAGAAAGCAGCACCTTGTTATATAATATTGATGCTGATCTGACACTAAACGTGTGAGAATTAGAACAGAAAAGGCGCTATCTTGCTAGGAACCGGGAACCTCATCATTCCTTCTCTCAATGAGGCCTTGGTCGAGTATCAAAATGGGATGATGATCCCCTGCTGTTTGTTTGTATTTTAGAGCAGCCCCACACACCTAAGAAGGTCTTCTCTCTCTCAATCTTTGAGAATTAGATCAAAACAATATAAAACACGTAATCCCAGAGCCACTGGTCCAGAAATGCAATAACATGTTGTTTCTCATTCCAACATTAATGAAGTTCCTTCCTAACAATTCAGTCTAATTCGTACAAATTGAAAGATAGTCTCTGCGTTACCAGCATTGAACAACTACTATGACAACTTCATTACCATAAGTAGGTCCATGCGTCGTAAAAATCATATTAAAAATTGCTCCCCAAATTGCCATATTACATTCTTTATGGGGTAATTTCGGTACTACACACAGTAATAGAATATTTTCTTTACCCTCCAGTGCATATTAAACTCACTTATCTTCCCCTATAAACTCTATGCATTGTGGGTTTAATGACAAGATAGGGGAAGTTTTCTTCTTCGTCAAATTTATTCACCATACAAAGATGTCACTGGCAAATGCCGCTGAAAGAGAACATCTATTTAAAATATTGTCACAACATTTCGCTTGTTATTAGAGAGAGTCTTGACAATAATTAGAGAAAGATAGTTTTCTCAGAGCAGCAGTCAATAAAAGATGATGGGGATGTTTTTCATAAAGCCTATCTTGGGTTTGGATGGATGAGGCTTGGAGTCGGAGAAAGCCAATAACTGAGAGATAAATGATATAGCCGGTTGGAAATATTGGTATTTTTCAGCGTTGTCAGTAGAATAAAGCACATTAGCACAATGGACTACTTACTGCCTCTTTCATAATTGAGACTAGACCTTGTAGCTGTGCCCCACAGCTTATCATTAATCAAGCTGAATGAAGCAGAGGAAACGTGACAGCTTTGGACAGCATTAGGCCGAGAAGGTGCTTTGTCAAGGTAGGTAGGTAGCGAGGCAAACCTTGGAGTCATTCATCTGACATTTCAGCTCTCTGGCTTTCTTCTAACAGCAGTTGTTTTTTTTTTTTCTTTCTTTCTTTTATTGGGCCAGATTGCATTGTCCGATGCCGTTCATTGCCGTTGCCATCAGCCATTAAATCCCCGCTGCTGTCAACTAAAGACTCCTGGGAACTCAGGAACATTTATGTTTCAGCTCAACATCTTTTTTCCGAGTTCAACATTGGTAGTTTTCTTATGGAAAATTGTTGTTCTACATTAAAACGTTAGAAATACACTTTAAAACTATTAGGGTGAAAACAGCACAATTTGGGTTATGTTGATCACCCACCTCTGGACTGATTCAAGATGACAGGGCTGGATTGTGGGTATGACCCGGCATACAGGAGGACGGGGTGAGGTCAATGGGTTCAATTTATTTAAAAAAGCACAGCTAAAAACAAATAGGTTAACAAGAATACCTCGTAATATTTGGGTAAAAACGTATGACTTTTATTTGATACATATGCATTGAGAGTGAAGTTGTGAATGCCTCAGATGGAAAGAAAGTTTGTATCAAGATTGTGTTGCAAAAAATATTTTAGACTGCAACAATTTTCAAAACTCTTGATCTTCCCTGCTAAAGCAAAGGGAGCATAATACAACCCACTGGCATTAACACAACTACAGCATAATTAACAGCATCTTACCACTGTAAAATTTAAAAATTAAATCTGTGAGGAATGATTCACCAATTTCTTCTCTCCCAACAATCTAGGTTACAAATATCGAACCAATAGTTGGTTGAAGCGACCCAACTTTTGTCTTCACAGCATAAACGTGGCATTTGAGTGAAAGAAATAAGAAATTATTTGTGTGTGTTCTGAATGTGCGTTCAGGACATATCCTGAAAACTAACCCGATGGTCACCGGCTAAGTTGAGTGGTTTCTCATTCCACAATCAATGGGCTCTCAGACGAGAAAATCCCATTATTGCTGAAAAAGATGTTCATTAATTATGTAATTTAATTGAATTTAGGCAGGTGCGCAATGCACACCTCAGTCAGGGTGGTCAATGGTGGGAAAAGGCCTGAGCGTCACTTCTCTCTCGTTCTATTAGGAACCAGCACGTCCCCTGTCTCCCAGAATTGCTTTGCTCTTTATTGATTAATGACCGTAATTTATAACCGAGAAGAAGGCTGCAAGTTGTAGCAAATGATCAATTAATCAACTTTTCAGCATCAAGTTATGAGGATTTGTATTGAAAATGCCACCAGGAACGTAGGAGACCGAGTGGCTGTTTTCCCTCGGCTCCTGTTGCAAGAGAACTGTGCAGCTGATTTTTTTAACAGCAGTTAAGAGTGTTTCATTGCTGTAATACCTCTTGTCCCACATGACAAATGTCTTTATGAGAAGCTGAACATAATTCCCTTTGATGGAGGGACTGCCACGTTCTTGCCACAATTCACAGTCAAGTCAACTGGAATAATGAAACATCCGCTCACGCCTGTAAAGACAGTCTATTCATTTCTGAATAGGTGCAGAAAAATGCCTGCAGCTTCAAATATATCACAGATAAATCAACAGTATTACATTAAGCTGGGAACAGATGAGAGGTTAAAGAACTTAAGGCAAGACTACAATAAATTTCACCTCTCACAAGCACAGACCAAGGCTATTATTTCTCATTGAATAGGGACTTTTATGACACATTAAATCCAGGAGTATAAAAACTGCAATTGATCATAATTTCTGAATGCCCTACCTAAATCCCCACAGCAGGTGCTTACACCTTTGGAGCATTTCAAATGAATGAATAATTGTTTTTGTTTTTTTGGGGGGGTTTTTTCTTCGCTGAATTTTGACAAAGAATAATTTCCCATACTCTACATGTCTCATAAGGTGTCAGTAGTTTTTTTTTTTTTTTTTTAAGTTTTAACAGATTTATTGGAAAAGAATGACATTTTTTAATATAATTTGCAACCTTAAAAGCACTGCTATATAATTATTAAGACTGCACCTCTAAAAATAGCTATCATTCTTAAGATATTTTCCTAGTGCTGTGGCCTCTGTTAGGTATTTTAAAATTACTTTACTAATTGCATTACAAAATGCCACACTTAACTTTCTGCCTTCGTGATCTACAGTAATAAATGCATTCATTTCTAAAGGACCCAGACAGATCTTTGAGGGGGGGGGGAATCCATTTGACTGTCGGAGCTCACTACTCGTGGGAGTGTGAAATCAGTTACTCTCCATTTTAACTTTTACATTTGCTGTTGCCCTGAGAGTTGTTCACTTGCATAAATATTCATTGAACTTTCCAGGACTCTCGAAGTAAAAATACATGAATTCTTTATGACTAGCCATTTATATTTTGAGCCAAGACACTAATATTAGTCATAAGGAGTGCTGTGGTGATGAGGTACAGAGAGCAGCTTGGCTGATTTTGCACTGTGCAGAAAACATTCAGTGTTTTGGTGCTCAGTGGTTTTTTGTCTAATGGGTGTTTGCATAGTGGTACTTGCTTTTTTTCTACCCATAGTTATTCCGTTCTATGATATATTATTTGCATTTGATTTTGACAAAATGTGTTACTAACACATTGAAGAAGTGCTTCCCTGTTATTATTAAGGCTACATATTTTAATTGAGGGCCAAAACTGGGAGTTGCAGTAGCTTTTAATTCTCTTTCTGCATTTTTTTTTTGGACAGGACTGTAAGCCATGCAAATGCTTTATAAATTTAGCACACAGAAATGGGATTATCCTGCAATTCTTTATAACCAGAATGACTATTAGGTCAAAAACTGAATTGTAATTGGGAACATAACCTTTAAGACATATGTTTGACTGAAGCTCTTGCCTATGAGACACAACTGGACTTTTAGGAAAATATGAGAAGCAAGTTGTGACTTTTAGCCCTTGGAGGAAAGATTTCTCCAAATCTGACAACATTTTAAATAAAAGGTTTTCTGTGATAGAGGGGTTTGAGTACTAATATGATCCGTGGAGTTTTTTTTTTTTTTAAGGGATAAGGCTTATAGTGGTTTGATGAAGGAGGACAACATCTGAACCTTGGTAGGCTCAGCCTTAAATGCAAAATGAACACACCCTCATGGTGGCCTTCTTCTGGCCAGGCAAAATGTTTGAGATCAGGTGCCATATTATATTGTGATCAATGAGATCATGGATAGAAAGGGTTGAGCTTCCTCAATCGAGCAGCTGAGGTTTGAGTAGAAACAGAGTAAAGAGCTCCAGAAGCTGGAACGGCTGCTGGATGCCTCTCTTTGAAGGTTTTTCAATAATGTTATAATAATAACATTATTGAAAATGTTATTAATGGGGGACGTAAAATGCCAATTGGTTACCTCATTGCCTAATGGAAGAATTGTCTCGCTGATCTGAAGTTGAGCTGTGTAAAGAGCTCAAGTTGTAAAAAACATTACTTGTCATTGGACTTCATGTCCATAACAAAATAATGCACCATCTTTTGATCAAGGTGCTTTAAAAGTGTGCTTGGTAGTAGGCCACTTTGGGCAAAAGGTCAATGATCAATTTTGTAATTGTCTCATTATTAGCCATTAGCTCTGCAATGTTGCATCTTGGGCATGGAAAACATGGGAGGAATGTGGAAAAGGCTATTGAAAGAGACGTTTAGTTGGTAAAAAGAAAGTTCTAGAGAAAACATTTGGCGACTCATAAAGTGGATCATCTCTCACAGAGAAATCTTGAATTGGCTTTACTATGCAATTTAATACAATTCAATGCAGTTTATTTATACAGTGCCAATTCACAAAAAATGTAATCTTGAAGCATTTTACAAAAGAAGATAATTTAATTAGAAATAAATTCCAGTTAATGCTAGTTATCAAACAGCAGATGCAGCCCACTTTATTTAACATAGTCAAGTATATTTACAATTTCAACTGAGCAACTGCTCTCTCACACACAGTGTGACGTCACCTCTGGTCGTATTTAAAAATAATTTACACAGTGGCAATAAGGTTTACTTTAAGTTTCTTCTTATCCCACTTAGATATATATTACAGTCAATATTACAAGGTGAGTGCCACCCAAATGCTTCAAACTAGCCAGTTTGTTGAAATTGCAAAGCTAAAATTTCAAAAAATGTATTTAACTATCTTTATTTAAGTTTTGTTAATTAATTTATTTGTACAATACCAAACAATATTCATGTTCCATAGGCTTTAATTGTTTTTATCATGAAGCAATGAGATATTTTGTAGGTTGGTGGGAAAAAAAAGAGAAAAAAACTGTTTTTGACTCTAATTATTTATGTCTCCAGAGGTAAACGTTAGAGGTTAAAGGTAAATGTACCTATCTGGTTGAGGTCAGGCTGTGTTTTCCCACAGGGAGAGCCCTGGTGTCACACACAGAAGCGAGGTCAGATGGAGCACGACAGCAGACTCAAATCACATGGGCAACATGAAGTGGATTTCAAGAAATGACTTGTCAGTTCAATATGACATAAAAAAACCCCTTTGTATCCTTTGAATGATGTAGAATTATCAAATTTTTTCAGGGACATTGACTTTGATGCTGATGTTGAATTCCCTCTGCAGTCGCTCTCTCTGTCTCTGAGCCGCCAGCTGCATGCATGGCTGAGCTGCGAAAAAAAGGCAATGTCCCATGATGATCGGACGACAATCCACCGGTTTGTCAAAACCTGGCAGAATCTCTGGCTCTGGCAATAGCACCTTGTTAGATTGAGGTGCTCAATCAGGGGAGTGCTGGAGTGCCCGGCCAGGTTTGAGAGTGGTGATTACCGGGGCACGGCTGTCCAAAGCTAGTGAAATGCTCCACCTCTCCACAGGAGGCCCTCTGACATTCAAGCCTGCATTTTCTGAATCAGTCTTGAGTGATTAGGGCAGCGACAGGCAAAAGGACAGATCAAACAATTATTCCTCCTCACCCTCCTCTCTATCCTTTTGACATGTGACAGAGCAGGAAGAGTGCAGCTCAGAATATCTACAGTGTTCAGTCAGGCTTACTATAAAAGCATATTCAGGTGCCTTGTTTTATTTTTGATAAATATACGACTTTTTTTTTCTTTCTACATTTTACACAAATGTAAACTGAAATTTTCCGCGTCGCGTCAAATTTCAACTACAAACTCCAACGTGTTTTCATTGGGATGTGACAGATAAACACAAAATAGCACCTCATTGTTAAGCGGAAGGAACTGTACATGATGTAATTCTTTTGTACAAATTAAAATCTAAAAAACGGTGTGCTTATTGGGTGAGACAAAAAAAAAGAAATATTACGAAGTAGTACATTTGGCTGAAAACTAATTTTGCATGGTAAATGTTACATTAAATTGCAAATTCGTGAGGCGTCTTCAAAACAAAATGCTCTCCATCCAGTCTGAGCTTGAACTAGGCCATCTCCACATGTGTGAAGCTGGTAGAGACAAAATTTGATTCTACAAAGTGAAAGGTGAAGGTAAATACAAATGCATGACATTTTTCTTAAGTTTGTGCTTGTACCGAGACGAGTAAAAATTATTTTTGAGTAATGGTGCTTTGTATATTGGAAATTTGGAAGAAAGAGAGAGAGAGAAAAAAAAGCTTAACCTTGCTTTCTGAGAAATAATTTGAAAGTAGTTTCACAGAAAATTTCTTACTGCACTGCTCTTTGTTCCTCCTGTCATTACAGCACCGGGGACACAGCAAAAATGAGTCAGAATGAACATTGGGGAGGCAGTACAGTATGTTTCAGAGCACAAGAGGGCAGTGTAAAATCTCTCTGACACTCATCCATCCATTCTCCCCAACTAACTCACCTCCCACCTGAAACAACAGCCATAAAACCTGTTGTAGGCTGTCAATCTCCAAGTGGCTGTTTTCTCCCATAAAGCACAGATCTGATTACACAGAAAATACTGGATGACAGTCAGGAGGCAAGCGGGTTGTTGAGGGTGACAGTCTTCTGTAACCCTTGAGTGGGTGAGGGGAGCTTCACAGGGTAGAGGACTGTCCGTCTGAACAAATGTGCTTTCAGGCATAATAACAATCACAGTTAGTATGCCTTGTATGGGGCTGGTCACATCATGTTCTGTGGGGGTTTTGCTGCAGGAGGGACATAACAAGAAAAGAACATTATGTGGCAATAATGAAGAACATCTGGAGAAATCAGTCAGGAAGTGAAAACTTGGACACAAATTAGTCTTTACAATCGACCTAATCATGCTGCCAAAGTAGGTGCCGTGCTGCAGTAGATAACTTTTATAATACATATATATATATATATATATATATATATATATATATATATATATATATTTTTTTTTAACATGACAGTATATTATGAGACAGATGATCTGTGGAAAAAAAAAAAAAAGTAGAGCTCCTCTGCGCCCCCCTGAGGTCCTACTGCCATCTGTAGAAATACATCATTCTATCAGAAACAACCAGTCAGGGGGAGGGTCCCCTGTCAATCACCATCATGTATGCACTACACATGCCCTCCTCTAAGCTCTCTGCAAAACTCCAGCTGTTTTCCCACAATGGGGCTGGCCATGAATAAACAGGCTAGTTAGCATGGCACCAATGACAGCAAATAAACAGTTTTCCTCTAAAGTTAAATTGTTTCTCTGCTATTAGCACAGCTGCATTGCATACACAAACATGATTGACAGTGCTAAAACCTTTCCTCCTAGCTCTGACTGGTTATTTCTGATTGGGAGTGGTGTGTTTCTGCACATGGCAGTAGGACCACACAGATGAGGCACAGCTCTTTTTTTTTTTTTTACACAGATTACCTCTCATACAATTTTGTCACAAAATAGTGACAGTTTTAATAGATATGTAAAAAACTTTTTTTTTTTTATTAAAGTTACACACCTCATCTTTAATGACAATGGCTGCATGTGACAACTTTGGCAGAGCTAAAATGGTGCGACTGTGAGCAGCATGTGAAAAGATACCCAAAGCATTAGACCCAACTCCAATGCTAAGGAAACTAACTAAATGAAGCAATGTTGGACACGCATTTACTCTACATTTAGACTGTGTGTCATTGTGTGTCTTTGCAGTTTTGTTCAAAAACGTGGAGACTTCAGAAGTGTTCCAGCTCCATAAAAGCTGAGGGATTAAACCTTGTTTTTTCTTCTCCTCTTTTCGTTTTTATCCTTTAATTAATATGACCGAGGGGAGGGTGACAGCACCTGAAAAGTGGACACAGCCGCCAGTACCCTGCTGCGGCCAGAGAGCACGCCACTACCCACAATGCACCACAGGCCGATTCCATCAAAGACACAATGGCACACTCACCGCATGTTCCTGCTCAATAGGCTTAAGGCTATCTTCCCGTCTCTTTGTTTGCTTCACAATTAATTCATCTTTCTGGTTTTGAGAACCAAAACTAACAAATGCAGCAGACGTGTGTTTGTCCAAAGTGGAAAAAAAGGAAGGATTTACTGTCTTGTTGTGCTTTTCAAAAAAATAAAAAATAAAATAGGGAAAAATTGTTGATGTGTTTTGTGGCCTTTCGACTCTTGTGTGTTAATTTTCACTTGCCCAAGTGGCAAATGATGGTCCTTTTGAAGCCTGATCAGCTGTTATTGTCCTTTCCTCAAGTGAATTCCAGTGTATGGACTGAACTCCCCCCCCCACACACTATATACAACTTCTATTTCTCCAGGTCATTTGCTGCAAACATAAATGAATGTATTTAGATCCCAAATTGAACAAATAATCTCCCGGCTTCTTGACACATGCTGTTTCAAATTGGACATTTTCTTCTCCAGTTATCTCATGCAAGATACAGGTGGAAGGTTACGCTGCCGACAGCCGGGATGCTGATTTGAAGCTGCCAGCAGTTGTTCTGGAGTATTCCCCTGGTTTGCTTTGAAGTCTACACCCCACAGAGGGTCCTATACGGAGAGCAACGGCTGTATTTACATCCCATGGGAGAATAGGTTTCACTAATATGTGTTTTTTTTTGTTTTGGAGGGTATCTCAAAATGTGATTATAGGTGCTCTTTTTTCTTTTTTTTATTTGGTTAAAAATCAACATATGCATCCTCAGATATTCGTACAGCAAAAAAGCACCTGGATCACAGTCACAGAGTCCAAACCAATGCCGCTCTCACAATTCTCACAGTCTATTGATTCTCTCTCTGAAATTTATGTTGCTTTCCAGGGGAGACCCCCTGCTGCGGCCCTCGCTGCTCCCCCCCCGGCAGGAGGGTCACTGTGACACAAGAGCGTTGGGCCAGATGCCGAGTGATCCCAACTGATGCACCTTTCGCTTCCAAGAGTCACATTCATCGCAACTGCAGGACAATCAGAGAGGACCTCAATGAAATACCACACACCAAACCTGAATTACCAGCAGAGCTCACTCTGCTGTTTGATTTTTTTTTTTTCTTCTTCTTCTTCTTTTTTCTATCAACTGCAAGTGTAAATCTCCGGAGCAAATGCTTTGAGAAAACGATTGAGGATGATGAAGAGGTGGGAAAACTGAAAGAAAGAGAGAGGACAAAAAAAACACAAGATGAGAACAAAACAACCCAGTTGGTGCACCTTTGCCACTGCAAGTGAGTGAAGTCACCCTGTGTTTTTGTGAGGGTGCGTGTGAACAAAATGCGCTTTGAAGTGCGGGTACAGCACTGTACTGTGGCATCACTACGGCCACTACTAAGCCCCCGCAAAAATGTGCCGGGCGATTATAGAAAATGCTATAGAATCCAGTCATAAATCAACTAAACTTTCATGCAAATAGCCCTTTCTATGAAGCATTTATGCACTGTGTGTACAGCGGCATCAATGGTGCGTAAAAGGAACATTTTGCGTCTTAAAAAGAGAAATCACTGAGACATCACAGCACAGACACACACTGAACCTTCAAGGTCAAAGCCTGCAAAATAATAAAACACTGAGTCGAAGAAAGAGACACACACACATACACAAACACGCAATTGGGAGGTAAGACAAAACTAGAGAGTCGTTAAGGCTTTTATCTTCTGGTTTGAAGGAGAAAGATCCACCTGACATCCCAGAGGGCGCTGATCAATCACGGCCTGACTGGTTCAAACTGTTTGTGCTGGATTCCACATTTATCACCATCCGATGGAGCTCCGTGTCCGTCTACAACGCCTGAAAAAAAAGAGGGAGCACTTTCAATTAGGGCATGGTAAAATAGATTCACTTCTTGATTTATAGTGCACGACTAATTACACAAGGCCTTTTTTTTTTTTTTTTCTTCAAAATGCAGATGGAGCTGAGACTTACCCTCGTACCTAAGGATCTTATTGTGCTATGGTAAAAAAAAGAGAGAGAGAAAAGGTTCTTTATGTTACAACAAATGTAAGAGACGCTTTGATGTTTTGAAACAAAAAATACTTTTAACTGATGATGAGAAAACATGATTCATTTGAGGCTTCACAGAAACCAACAAAATGGCATGTCAAAAAAAAATCATGAAAACAAAGTTAGAATAGTGGATCTTTAATGGTGATTTCATGCAAAATTGTAGATGATACTTGTATTGTTATTATGGTAGTGTGCTTAAGCTGTGCTGAATAACATTAGGGATAGAAAACTAATCAGTCCCTTGATCTATCAAAAGTCAGTATACAGTGCAATTTATTTACCTCTTTATTAGGGAATCTATATATTTAGAATTTTTTTTACAATCAAAAATAAATCATTCCTTTTCAGCTAAGATTATAATAAGAGCCAATCAGAGCTAGTAATCAAAAATTACATCTAATAATTAATGAACTACTATAGGTTTTAAATGCTACACTGAAGAAAAGAAACACAAACCCAAAGACTAACTTTGATTCTAATCTCTAATCTAAAAAGAGGAGGGGAAGGAAAAGGACCATTCTCTTTAACTGAGGTCCATGAGCCTTCTGCATCATGAGGGAAATAAAAAGTTGCAAATCTTTAAACCCCATTGTTTCATGGAGCATTTACAGATGCTTGTAAATGTTGAACAGCTTTATTTAGGGAGTGCCCCAGTGAAATGAGTAACTGTGTCTTCAGCATGTAGAGGAATTTTGGCTACAGGTAGCCTGGCCATTGACTTCCTGTGCAATTCCACTTAAAAAAAAAAA